CACCATTTTGTATTACAGTTAGATTTTTGTAATATCCATGGCTGGGCCATTTCGATCACACAAGGGTGGAACACTCTTTTTCTCGGCTCTTCCTAGTTGGGGGGGAATCTTTACATTTTGCGGCCTGCGAGGTGCGCACATAAAGGCTCTCTCCGTTTCCCTTAACACTGCCGTAACTTATCGCTCGTAGACACAGTATTTCTCTCCGGCTCTTTGAAAGCATTTTCTCATTAAAAAATTAAGGGTAGGAAGGGGGCCGGAGGCAAGCGGAGGGGGAGGGTGGGGGGGAGGTGGAAGGCGAAAAGGAGCGAAGCGGTTGCAGAGGGACGAGCGGGAGTGATGGAGAGTGAGGGGGACCGAGTTCGCGGTGCAGAAACGAAGTGTGGGTCTGAGACAGGAGGGTTTTGTGGCGGCAAGCAGGGAGACCGGGGGTAGACGGAGGGGTTGGTAAGTGCTCTGCGGCTCCCAGATGCGCCCAATATTATGTTTAATGATATTAACTTCTTACTTAATGGTCCGCGGTTCGATTCGAGGTGCGAAAGAGTCGCCCGCTCCCCCTCGTCCGAACCGCAGCTCCAAACCGAAGCCGGAAAAAGTATACCTCGGGGAATAATTTGGCGAGTCGGGTATGAAAAGAGTGAAAAAAAATGAAAGGGCAAGAGGTACGTGAGAAAGAAAAAGAGAGAAAAGGGAAGGAGGACTGAAAAGAAAATGAGAGACGAGAAATGGATACAGCGGTAAGAGAACCTAATCACTTGGAGAACACGTCCATTTGCCTTTCTCCCTTTTTCCTCTCTCTCCTCTCTCTCTCTCTCTCTCTCTCTCTCTCTCTCTCTCTCTACTTCTTGTAATAAATCCGCGACTACGTGGATGACCTCCGCCATAAACTTCGCGATAAAAGCCGCGGCATCGGCGGGCACGTTCCCCTTTTTCTGCGGGACTGCTGCCAAGGGTCGTTCTTGCCCTTAACTCTTTACGCGCGATTAAAGAATCTGTCCCTTGGCGAAAGTGCTTGTACTACGAAACTTTTGTCACTCGAAAATTATTTTCTCTTTGCTGCGAGATAATATTATCTCAAAGAAGCAACCTCATTAATTAGATTGCTTCTTCGCGACAGTGTTAATTATTTTTAATTGTTCTATTAATCACGATCTGCGAGGAATCGGCTAACAAGGATCAATTATGCCTTTCGTAGTTGGAGGAACAACGTTAGAGTAATTTTGTTCGAAGCTTTTATCTTATTTGCTTTTGCGGTTTTATAATAAGAACCGCCCGATTTTGCAATCCTCGCTCGTTTCTTATGATATGCAAACCGCAACATCGAGACAGAAATCTTAATGATTCTGGATAAGCCAAGATGGAATCCAGGGGCACGAGTGTTAAACAATATAAAGCTAAGATGAAAAGTTTCTTATAGGTCGGGAGCGAAAAACCGCGGCGCCGCATTAACGACCTCGTAAACTCGGGGATGCCCCGAGGAAATCGAAACAAAATATAAAAGAGGAGCGCTTATCGCTTTCGGAAATTCGTTTTTCACTCGTCGTGAATATTCTGCTCTTAGAATATCTTTGAGTGAATTTGATTAATTTATCATTGGCGACGTAAGCTGTGATTCTTTTACGTGACGTCATCACGTGATAGGTAAAATAAATGCGAGATGTGTGTCGCGGCGGACAAGGCGATTAAGGACGATAATGCGCGGTGTACAGTGATACGACGAGGACCGTCACGATGTGAGACCGGTACTTATCTTCCTACGCGGATCCCTTGCCCAGCGACTAGAATAATTATTTAATTAATACCCTACGTAGTGGCGGAGTCCACCTCCGCGCTCGGTCGATTTAAATCCCTCAGATTAATACGAAACCTTTCTTTTCTCTCTTCTTCTTTGTTGCAGGCTCCGTGAGGAGAGGGGCGACGCCGAGAGAGCGCTGGCTTTGGACCACAAACCCAGGGATCTCAGCTCGCACAATGGTAAGATCGCACAAGTAAATCAACGCATATACGTTCGTACAGCTTAAATTTAATCGTACGTATTATAATTAAAAAAAAAAAAACGAATTCAAAGATTATACGTAAACAATTATTAAAGATTGGTATTATTTATCATTTACTGTAATTAATTTAATCTAATCGATTAGTTTAACTAATGACTCGTATAACTAATATATGATATTTCTCATTAATATACAAATATCGACTTACAATTAATCGTATCGATAAATCGAGATTTTTTTAAAAAAGTGATCGTTTGATATATAATATCTAGAAAGTTTCTAAGAGGATGCTGTGAGTTATGTCGTGTTGTAGGCATTATAGTTTCTAACGCTATTTCTCGTATTCCTACCTGCCTGTTGTAGTGCCTGTCATGGATTAAGTATGTAACGCGAGATTCTTAATCGTCAGAGCTCCTCCATGGAACATAGTCGATCGATGTGGATTCGAAGTCAAGTGGCGCAGAAAGATTTTTGACCGCGACACGACGGTCCGAGAATCCAAGCGTATTTGTTGTTTTCTGTATTTCTACCTTTTCGTTCTTCCCTTCTGACCCCCGCGCGTGTGTGTGTGTGTGTGTGTGTGTGTGTGTGTGTGTGTGTGTGTGTGTGTGTGTGAAGTGTGTGTGTGTGTGTGTGTGTCCACAAAGCAGTCGAACGACGAGCGTTCAGGGCATTTTCAGGATCTCGGAGATTAAGTCCGATATCGGATTACAGCCTGGTCGCGGGGCCCTACGTCTCCTTCTGATTCTCTATAATATTATAATCCGTCTGATGGAACTCTTTACGCGACGGGCCCACCTCCGTCCTGGAACACATTTCGACCTGTTCCGTATCTAAGTTTCGTATTTTTCGACAAGTATTTATGTCAAATAATGTAAACGCAAAAATTAATCGTATTTTTCCATATATCGGTGCAATTAGATTTATAAGATCAAAGTCACATTTCACGCAACCGAGAGACTCTCGATCGCCATCGGTTTCGAGACCGAGGCTCACAGCGGCTTCAACGGCGGCCGGCGTCGTAGAGGTCAATTTAACGTAAAAGATGTACGATTCATTAGATCGCGTCGGGAAGACCCGAGAAAACCGCGACCCTTCTCTTTCAATGGCCAACGAGGTACATGGTGCTCTGGACGCGTACGTGTGCGAACGGCCGAGGCGCGCTGGTCTCACTACACGTACGAGTATTCGTTCCGAATACTCGTGAGATCACGAGTGGCCCGAAGCAATGCGTCAGCGCCGACGACCGTTGCCCAAACAGTATCTATCTATGTCAGGATTAAAATACTAGGATATCAAATACGCGCGCGAGCGCGCTTAGACGGCCGAAGCAAGGAAAAAGGGATGCGGAAAGAGAGAAAGAGGTGGTCGCCCATTGGGGGTAGGTGGGCGATACGGGGGAGATTCCGGGAGTGGATAGTCCGCTTGTTCTCGTCTAAACGGGGGATGCGCGGCGGTAAATAAAATCCATCAACTTGTCAGTTTGGTCGATGGACGCGCTTCTCGTTCTTCGTAACCGAACGTTCTCCGGGAAAGATTGACGCCGCTTTCCAGCCCGCGTTATCGTACCGAGTGGATACATTATGATGTCAATACGATTCTGATATACACCATGCACTATATTGAACAGATATACTTTTACATACTTGATAGATGCGTACGCGAATTGTATATCTTTAATTGATTTTGTCGCAATGTCTGCGTATTTTCCAGGCTCCTCCAACGGTCACAGCCCGGTTCTAAATCTTTCAAAAACGGCGGGAAGCGGAAGCGTGGGCGAACAGTCCGGAAGTGAGGCAGGCGCGTCGCACCGTTCTCAAGACGACGACGAGGAGGACGATAATCTGTCGGAGGACCTCGAAGACGACAATGAAAAGGACGAAGGTATGTTTTTCAGATGTGCGAGGCAATTGAACTGCAAGCGACAGGATCTGTGTTGTCTGCCATTTATAACTCTGATAAAGCGATCGGCTTGAAAGAGATCGTTCCACTGGCAATCAATTAAAACCGAGCGATAAAATGCGTTTCTTTCGCTTTTGACGAATGTCAAAAGGACGATTTCGATTTGAAGGCGAGAGAGAGAGAGAGAGAGAGAGAGAGAGAGAGAGAGAGAGAGATGAAGAGAAAGGATTCGTGCTCGTGAAATAATTATATCGATTTTGCCGGACACGCCGCGTTTAAAGACGAGTTCTTCTAGACGACTGGCGGGTCAGGGCCTCTCATCCATCATCTCTACCGAGAGAGCGCGAGGGACGCTTCGGGATTCATCTTCCATCGCGCTCTGAGAAACGCGCCGCAGCGGTTGCCAAGTCGCCATGTAGATCCAAACGTTTTTAATTGCCTCGAGTTTAGCGAGAAAAAATAATTTCATAAAAATATTAAATGTAATTATTGCTTTTTTTTTTTTTCAATTGATTTTTCGACCACTTTATCGAACACCGTGTGCTTCGTGCACATCGGATAGTCTTATTCTCTTACTGACGAATATCTCCAAAACGCGTGGCATCCACGTGAGAAGCGTCACTGTCGGGACAAAGCGATCATTAGACTTGTATCTTCAGTATTTAGTTTCATTTTTCTAATGAAAGATGGATCGAGAGATCGAATCTTCGTCTGAGCTTTGCTACGACCGCTATCCTTCCCTGCCTCGTTCCGGCGCTCCAAATTCACCGAAGCGTCATAATCGTTTTGATTTCTAATCTACTCGACCATTGTCACGCCGGCATGTTAATTGGCCGGCCCAATTAATGGCCCGAGGGTCGCTCATAAAGTCGCGTAACCATGTGGGATCGATTCCGCGTCACGAATGCGTTTCCAACGAAAAAGAAAAGAAGATAAGATTCGATCATCTCGCGTTGTCTTAATTAATTTCGTTTCTTTCGGATCGCAATTTAATGCGAGGCCGAGTCGTTAGAAGAGAGCCTTGCGCGGTCACGAGTGATTTACGGGCGAATCGATACATTTCGTAGTCTCGATGGGATAACGACGATACTGGTAAGAATTCATGGAAATCATAAGATTATTCGTTATCCGGCCTTCGCGCTGCCAGAGGCCGGCTGGAAAATGTTGAGGACTGCCGCGCGCTCGCAAAATTAGGGGATCCCGCGTGTACCCCCGAATTAGTGGGCCTGTAAATTCTACGAAATACGCGAGTTAGACGTATAAATTCCGGGCGCGGGCCGTGTACGATGGGAAGAGGGAAGGGAATCAAATCCGTGTCTCGCAGCGTGTCGTACGCAATACATGGGTACATTCTACCTACGATGCTTGCGGGTGATCGAAGTAGAACCACGTCGAACGCCCGTGGGAGTGTACACGCTTGTGGAATGCAGTTCTGATTTAATGAGACGTGCCACTATCTCTCGCTCTTGTTCTTGGAATCGGATCCACCGCGATTCGTTGTCAATTTTGCATCTGACAATCCTCACCGAATTTTTCTCAGTCATTTTCGATTCGATTATCGTATTTATTTGCAGAGTCTAGAGAGCAACTTTTGCCGAAATTGAACCGAGGCACTGAGTTACGTGTCAATTTCAACCGAAACCGAAACCGAAATTAAAAAATAGGAATTCTGTAAAGGCCATATGTATGTATAAACATGATCATATATTATATACTTTTTCTTTATAAATATCACAATTTATTGAAACAATAATTAAATTTCAGTCGAAATCGAAAACTGAAATTTCAGTTGTGTCAATTTTGACTGAAAAATACACGGAGAAAATTTTGTTTTAAAATTTACCCCGAAAACATGGTAGTTGTGGTACAATATAGTATTTTAAAAATTTCTACCATGCACTTCGGTAAAATTAATCAAACTTATTCTATACTTTATTGTAGTTTTATTAATTGAATAAGAGAGATTTACATTGATATTTTTGGAAGTACAATGTTGTTTCAATGACTATCATGTTTTCAGGGTGTAAGAAAACTGTAAGAAAAATTTTCTCTTTGTTTAAATATTTCTTCGTCACAAACATCATAATTTAATTATTAAAACAATAATTACACATATTAAAATT